TTATTAAGTTTTAATTAGTTTAAGGTATATTGCATGGCGACTCACAGGAGTCAGCTAATGGATTTTACATGACTCATAGCTATGAGTCATAAGGTTCATGTGACACATGGTACTAATATGAGTTATACTAGGTAAAGAGCAACTGTATAAAGGGTTACTGAGGCCCCAAGTATGAGCTCTTCACATGTTCTTCTAGTTTATTTCCTACACTTATATTTTACAAATAAAAACCCACCTTCATACTCTTTAAGATTTATCTTAAGAAACTTAAGAATTGTCTTTCCTTCCATATCAAATGATTAAGCCCTAAGCAAGGACTTGAAGAAGACCAAGGTAATAGGCATGAGAAGATAGAAGTCAAGGGACTTAACTATCAAGCATAGCGTAGGCAATGGCCTAAGAACTATTACCTTTCCAAGCAGTAAGAATCATTACCTGTCGCACCCCTACACATAGTAGGATTCTTAACACAGATGCACAGGATACACAAGATGCAAACTTTTATTTTTGCTGATGTACAAATAAAAGTTATAATTTTACTATTTTTATCATACAAAATAGCACCCTAAAACATACCGGTAGCCTCTTGGACAAACTTCTGTTGTATGTTTTAGGGGCAGTAAGCCTCTCCAGCCTGGAGAAGTATACCATGCGCCCAGTAGTGGGGCAGGTTTCCACTCTCAAAATAAGACTTATCTGTAAATATAATACAGCACCAATTTTGATAACAGTACTGGTGACAAAAGGTGAGCCTTGTTTCCCTCTGAACTGGACTTAACATCAAATTTGTTGTTGGCTTTCGACAATAAATTTTATTTCAAGTTTCTCCTAGTACTTTGGATATAGTCTGTCTGCTAACATCTAGATTGGCTATTATTATTATTATTATTATTATTTAGTTAGTTTATATACATATTAAGTTTTTTTAATTTAAAAAAAAACCCCCTCCTGAGTTTACTGGTTTCAGCTAGCTGTACAAAAGTCATACAACAATGCTCTACATCTTTTAATGCTGTATCAATAAGATGCTCCTTCTCAACAGCTGTGAGTGACTCATTTGTATCCTTCACTGCCATTGGTAGAGGTAAGAGATTCTCTGGTGCACAAAGGTCAGGAATTTCATTTGTACTTAATCACTCAGACTCCTTTGTTGTTTTAATGATATTTGAACTGGTACTTGCTAACACACCAGTTTTTTCAGAAATCTGTCATTGGATCATCTTCTGAGCTCCATCTAACATGGCATAGTCCATGATTTGGCCTCATTTGGTTATAGATGTTGTTGGTCCCCACAGTGTTGACATTTTCTGTGAATATTGTTGATAATTCTACTATTTACAATGCAATCAGGACTACCATAGGCATTATTATATATATTGATTTGCTTTGTAATCTATCTCTTGATTGTGTTTAATTGGCTATTCCTTGAAACACATACTAATCCACACTACTGCATACTAATGCAAGCCCGGTCATGTTCACAAACGTCACAACATTACCTGTAGTCAAGATTGGCGCTCCCTCACCCCCATCACTCTTTTATCCTGAAAATTCGATAAGGTGAGAACTTACCTATGGCCCCGATGGCATCCCGGAAACTCTCTAACTCACAGGACCACAGGCTAAGATAAAACTCCTGATTACTGACTTGGAGATCTGCATCGCTGAATACCTTGACGTCAGTGATCGGTCATCATGGGTGCGGGTCAGGTTGTACCATTACGAATGTCCGGAACCCGAGCTACAGTGGGGAGCAGTGCGTGACGAAGAACCCCTTTTAACAACCTGCAATGAGAGGAAAATGGCCTTGGCTTATACCTGCTATCACCAAGGATCACGGAATACGCAAGCCAATGGGGAATCTCTTTCAAACTCCCGGAAAATCCGTGTTCGGTTATATTTCAACTCCTAGAGGGCACAGAATGCCTCCGTGAGTCTGAGGATTTTTGTTGAGAAATTAATCGGACTCTGAGTGAACCCCGAGGCTCAAGGTCATAGTGGCCGATTACCCAGAATACATCTCTACACTTTGTAGAGAACCTATTGGGCGCTATCAAAAGACCGGATCTCCGAGATAGTATCAGCAGCTAATATCAGCAATACGCCGCTTCATCTCGCCGCACAGAAGTTCGACGTGAAGGTTATTTGCTGGCTGCTGCTATGTTCTCCTAAAGCTGTTAACTCTACCAATTCAGATGGCGACACGCCACTTCAGCTGGCAGCACAAGCAGGCTCAGAGCCTGATGATGAGGACCATGAGTGCCTTAGGTTTGAAACCGCAATCTATTATTCCGGGGGGGGAGGAAACGATAAAGGTTTGAACGATACTAGCGGTATGGTTCCGGCCACCTATACACAACACCTCGATTGATGCAACGGGGGACGCCCAGGCATGCACTACCCTACCAATATAGCCCTAAAAATATTCAACCTGAACTTGTATTGGAGTTATTTTTATATTATTGTTTTTTTTATAACATGTACAAGTGCAATACAATCTGGCAACTTTGTATTAAAAACAGAACAAGAGAAAGAAATTTAATTATTGACCTCAAACATTAGGCTGAATGAGATCTTCACTCAGATTTGGACTTCTAAGAACCTGT